GACTGCCGGAGAAGAGCTGCTCTACGCTACGCAAGTTTTCCCCGCAAAGCCAGCAGCTGTAAACAGCAGCCCAGGAGTCAGCTGCCTGTAACCAGGGCCCAGCTTTGTGAAGCGCAGCTGTGCCCTTGGCTCAGCTTTACAGCAGAAAAAAAAAAAAAACCCACACAAACAAAAGTTGAGCCATGAGACTGTAGGTCATCTCCAGCCACGCAAGATAAAGAAAACCAAGAACAAAGACGTGAAGTCATCGAGTCAGTCATACTAGACAGAGGACTTTGGAGAAGAATACCAACATGGAAAGTGTAAAACCCTGAGGAAGAGAAGCGTCACTGGAAGACAGTAACTCAGCAGGATCAAAGGTCAGCCTGGTCCAGGCAGCAATGGAAAGAGACATGGAGAAGTAGTAGGTCAGTCAACAGTTAACACAGCTGAACGTCACACGAACTCACAGACAGACTCACAAGTATTTTTAAACTCCATATTTTTAGATGAGAAAATTCTGCAAACCCAACATGCTATCAAGGTATTTCTTGCTCTTTTCCAAAAAATCAGAAATACTTTAGGGCTCCTTTTTTCAGCCTTCATGTACATACATAAGCTGCCTCTGTACCAAGTAAAATGAAAGGCTAGAAGGATCACACATTTCTCTACCACACTAATTAATTAGGTGGAAAGAATTTAAGGAAAATGGGCTCTGTGTATGAGTGCGTGTGTTGAGAGGAAGATGAGAGGCAATTTTAGGGAAGTAGCAAAAAGCTTTCAGTATTCACAAGGTATTTAAAGATTTAGAGTCAAAAAGAGAAAAGTTTGAACCAGGGACTGTTGGACTTCAGGCAGAAGTTCCTAACAGCAACAAAGAAACCCAGAGGAACAGGGTTTCATGCCACATCTTAGCCAAATGCGTTGTTCCTTTCTGTTCCGTCTGTTTATATTGCCTTCCCAGAAACCCATGTACAGTTACCAGATCACGTGCTGTGCTTCCAACAGCAAGAGTCTCAAGAGTTTTACAGCCTTCTTGCTTACCTTTTCACTGGATTTACATCAGTTTAACTAACAGGACCAATAATCTGTGGTCTATCATCAGAAAGCTCACAGATCCTGTAGAAGCAAGGTTTTTGGAACAACTGGAACTCGGTTTGAATAGGAAGACAAAGAGGAAAGTAAATTGTCAATAGCAAGATGTACTGAGAGTTCTGGAAAACACCTGAAGGAAAGTCATCAGTGCGAGTAATTTATAAAGGGGAAAGATAAAGGGGTTACAGAACAATTCTCCTATCTGACTTCCAAGATTAGCCTTCACACGAACACAGCATGAGTGGGGCCACATTTCTGATGGGGGATGTGAACACTGGCCACCTCTAACAGCTGGCAGAGCCCCAGGATGCTGTTTTGCACACTCACCAAAGCCACCTTTGGAACTGGAATTCAAGCTCTAGAACTCTTCTGAAGTGAGGTGAAGACTTTCACCTGTGGTGAAAAGACCCATCAGAGCAAGATAACCATCAACAGACATGGCATGTATTGAAGTGATGAAGTTTCCAAGCCTTCTACATGCCTCAAATGTTTTTCTTAGGTTTTAAGCTTGTCAAGTGTTACATATATATGCAATTTAGTAGAAAGAATAACTAAAAATGAAAAATATACAACACAGAAATGGCATCTCTGGCCTGCAGAGAAAGTCCTGGGGTCAGAGCTCTACAAAGCTTGATGCCATCAGACCTGCACTAGTCTCTCTTCCAATAAACAGGGCTTGCACTCAGAAGTGGTTCCTCACAAGCCTTCATGACTATTTGAGTGTGCCACCTCCCCCAGCACAGGCAGCTCAGCTCCCAGAGCATCCAGGGGGCTCTCACTGGAACAGGCCAGCCCACACCAAGACCCAAGCACCCATCTCCAGTCTTTGACTCCAACGTTATACCTGAAGCTTACAGATGGAGAGGATGAGCGTCCAATTCTGGTGAAATGCAGGAAATATGCATGGTATTTCAAACTAGCCCTACCTAAACAAGGATTACAAGAGTGTTTAGTCAATGAGTGGCTTGTCAAAACCTCCACCGAGATGAGCGGCAGTGTAGTCACATCTTAAAGTAACTCGCTGAAGTACACGCTATTGTGAACACAGGGTTCTGCTAGGGGGAACACAAAGAAAGCGAGAGGCAGCTGCAGTCAACTAAAAAGTACGAATGCACATAAACCTATCTATGGCAAAACCGAAATTCTGTAATATTCTGGGGAAAAACTTAAACACTGTTGTGAAATCCAAAGAGGAGGTGGAGAGATGAAGAGATGAGTTGTAACAAGCCAATTCTCAGAGTTGTTTTAGACCTATCAGTTATGGCTAAGCTCTCTTTAGTTTCAGGTCACATTTTCTGTGTTTTCATATTAATGAAAGAAGTTTCTAGCAGCCATTATCCAACTGCACCTTTTAAGAGTTCAGTTCTTTGTCAGTCTGATTTTAGGCTAAAAAAAAAATAATTAAAAGCCTATTACAGTGATGTAAGCTTACTTGCATTGCTCTCTGAAATCACGCATTTCAAACCCTTGGCCCGAGAAGAACCTTTTTGTAGTAAAATGAAAACATTTGGTCTCTAAGGATTGCTCAAGTAATTACTTTCAAGATTTCATGAGAACAGGGTGATGGCTATATGAATATCAACATAAAGAGTGTCAAAGAAGCCTGTGAATCATCAGATACACTGGAATCTATTTGCATTACTCTGTGCCCAACCATTCAAAACACTGATGATTTCCTAACATTCTTGCACCAAAGATAAAACATTTCTGCCTGTCTCTAAAGAAATGTCACCTGTGGCTTTGGATGGCTTCCCTAATTTAATTTCAAGCTGGTATAGTCATACAGTGGAACAACACTCGAGTATTTACAAATATTAAATGTAGGCTACTCACTACTGCAGTGTTCAAGTGACAGTCATTTTTTAAGATAAGCTAATGTAAGTGTATTTATGGTTTATAAAAGCATAAATATGGTTTATAAAACAGCACTGCATTTTAAAGCAAAGTTCCAGTCATTCTATATATGCACAGTACTATGCTGATTTGGTAATACAGGGACACAATTTAATGATTTTCTTTGCATTTGTTTTTACAAGATTCAGATGCCAAAAACAAAACAGAACATTAAGTTACCTGATTTAAAAAAAGATCACATACGTTTACAACATCAAAAGAATAAGACGAAATATAAACCTTTGCTACTTACAATTGATCTATACAGATTAACCAAATCACAAATCTGTCACAATATAAACGTTTAATTGTTACAATGAATAAGAACATACAGAAAATGATTTAATTTCTTTTTTATAAAATCTTCCTTTGCTTTTTTATTTTAAACTTACCATTAACTAAATTAGCTATGCGGGACTTGTAGGGTACATGACTAAGAAGGCACCAACAGTACAAAGCAAAGACAAAGCAGTTTGAGTATTTTAAGAGTGCTCTACACTGATACAACACAAGAAAAGGCAACAATAGTAAGTAAACCAGCTGCAACCTTTAGAAATTTGTTCTAGATTTACAAAGGTAGTCCAACTTTTACATTTCCCTCAATGTTTCACCTATTTTGATCACAGCACATGCTACAAAAACCATTGTAAGCTTCACTTTACTAATGTGCACTTTTCACTAATTTAGTGTCTTGATTTCAATTGTTAACTAAACCATTTTGAACCACAAATGTATTTAAAACTTAGTAAAAGGATTGTTTGGACTCTTTTGTTTAAACCACTGCATTTACAAAAATATTTCCCCTAAAATCTGGGATTGCTTGAAGACATTGCTGTACAAATATAAAAGTACTATGCAAGGGACCAAATTCATGAGTATATGGTGTGTATGTATAGACTCTATATTTATACCATATCACTGTGCTGTAACAACACAATAAATTTATCAATAACCAAGGACTATATAAACTACACTAACATAAGCAAATATATATTAATAAAGTTTAAATCTATAGTACAGTTGCTCAGCAAACAACTTCGACATGGTATAAATATATCGTAGCATATTACAGTGGGCAGCAACAACTGTTTTTTCTTTTCCTCGTTCTGTAAGGAAAACCATGCTCAGCTCCTTGGGTTTCATTTGGCCTCTGCTGAGTTCTATCATCACTGCTACTCCTGAAAGCTCATAGTGCACCACACCGCTCAGCCCATGTAGTGTGTTGTACACTTCGGATTTGATATAACGTGTGATATTGATGAGGAAGAGTCTGGCAACAGTCAGGACAGTAGAGTAGGATGCTTACTTGCCAAAGCATCCATGAGAATTTTATGTTTGCATATTTTTCTTCAGTTATAAGGTTAGAATGTTTTTGACAGTGAACTGTTTACATTCCTTATTCCCAAAACATCTTTACCATGAAATATGCATGTTACTTCGATTAAGAGTTGCTGTTCTCCGCTCTAAAATAGAAAAACTACATAAAGAAAAAAGAAATTCAAAGCAAAACGATGAAATAACTGACCTAACACAGTGTTGTTATAGGCACCTCCTTTTAAACTACTTTCAAAATCTAAACAAACAAACAAAAAAATCATGCTTCTGCATTTGACGCATCAACAAATTCAACCCAACAATGTTTACTGAATTCAGCAAGAGATTGATGAATGTGGTTACTGATACTGATGGATGCCAACTGGATTCAGCAAGAATAGCTAAGGAAGAAAGCCCGAAAGCACCAGATGTTAGGTAAAGCAAACCCTCGGCTTTTCATTCTGAGACAGAATGCAAGGGTAAGTCTACATCTCCCCAAAAATCCAAAATTAAAGAAAGTATTAAAAAAAGAATTGAGAAAGAGAAGGATGAAGTAAGCTGCCAAAGTTCTTCAAATTAAAACTGAGGTGTTACAAATGAATTTCAGTAACAGTCATCTTTCCAAACATGCCAGAAATGACTCCTGTAGGAATGATGATCGTACAAGTAGCAGAGATTCTAGAAATATTTCAACTTTTCAAAACTGAGCGAGAAAAGCATTTTGGTAAAGATGTGTAGAAATGTCAAGCGAATTTCTACACTAGTATCAACAGTCAAGTGCATATTTCTATAGAAATGTTTTTAGCATAGGTTCCATACCACAATTCAATGATCGCTTGTGTAATGTCCTGACAATGCTCCTAATATGTTCCCCGCTATAGAGATTTATGTACCACAGGAACTTCCTAATAGAAAATGCCCTTTAATGACGAACCCTTGCTTATTAAAAATTAGTTTTGGCAAACTAACACTTAAACTATAGGAAAAAGAAAATTTTGAAATGGAATCTTGTAAGCACCCTTATCTATTGAAGTCTACATTAATGGCTTTCTAGATTTCCTTGAAAAGCAGACTAAATGGTATGAGGAAGCCTGGAGTTATTAACCAGCAAGCATCCTTATATACTACAGTAGCAATTGAACCTGATTTCCATTCAAACACATTACCCAAGAGGAAACCAAAAACTAATTCTTAATGTTAATGTGAAGATATAAGATTTAAATTTATTTCCAGGAATTACAAGTGCATTTTGTTCATATTAGCAAGCAGTCTTTATACAATCCATTCTTCACTGCTGCCAAAATAAAATGAGAAAAAGACAGCAGAGATATGAAAAGCTAAAAATAGAACTATTTTTCCTAAGTTATTTGTTGAATAGCATTTCAGTTCAACACAACTCAGAGGTAACAATAGATTATTTTTTTTTCTCAATCATAGGCATGTGGCACTTAGACAATCATCTTTGCACAGAAAGCTTTAACAGTCATGCGAGGGCACAGTAATTATTTTAAACAAGGCAAATTTCTCACCACAGAGAGCAGTGGGGAAAGAAAAGGAGGCACTGCACTGGAACATAACACCTAGTAAACTCCACATTATACAATTTCAGTAACAAATACTTGAAAAGATCATTAAAAGGTATACAATTTTAAACATTATTTAGTGCTAGCTTTGTTTGGTTGTCCTAACTCAGCATTATCAGAGAAGTTTGATAGTACTTGACAACAGAACAGTACTTCATGTCACGAGCTCATGGAGGCTTGATTACAAATCACCATAGTGTAGGTTGCAAGAAATGAACTTGAGATGCTGACATGCTGTAGGAGCAAAAGTAAAATCAAACTTTCTCATTTAAAGATGCAGTGTTCCTCTCTGCAAAAATTCTCAATGTCACTGGTTATATTCAAATGTAAAAACTATCAGTCCTCATCTGAAGCATTTCATTGGTATGCAGTATGTAGACTGAGTTTATTAACATCATATTTTGGTTTCTCGCTTGCCACCACATACGGATGCCTTCCACAGAGGAAAGCATTCACCATTAGGTCATCATGCCATTATGTTCTTTGTTAATCTTCCACCACAGGGTGAGTAAATATAAGCTGGCGAGCTGCCACTCATTCTCTTTGCACAAGTCTTATAAACACTACTACATGGTATGAACTTTGGAAGTACTACGCCTCCAACATGGTTAAACTTTAAATGATCTCTTTTAGAAAAGGCAGGGAGAAAAAGGTACAAATTTTGTCAATATATGGAAAAAAAGTTTCTTAGATGAATTCAATTAAGTTGGGTTCCTATGTGGCTCTTATGCTGTATAGAATACCTGTATGCACAGCACAGGATACCCAAACAAGTGCATAAGCAAGATTAACATGAACACGACTTATGCTGTAATCCATAGCGTAATGGTAGAAACTCTGCTGGATGCTAACCATTTCTATTTAAAAAGGAAGTGCAAAAAAAATCTGGGATGTCACTGACTTAAAGTGCCCTGAATAGTAGCTTTTCTAAAAAAAAAAATGCCAGCGACTTCAGTAAAGTCAGAAAAACATAGTTCACGGTGTAAACTTCTTACAGGTTAATGAATTATCTTCTTGGATATTGATCCAGGAGTGAAAGGAACCACTGCATCTTTCAAACCAGAAAGCAAGCAGTTAAAATACGGCCAGCAGTAGGTGCACTTACAGTACAGTACTGCAACAATGGGCATTACGCATAGGAGTGTCAATTACAATTCTTCAGGCTTAAAAGATTCATTGAAAGCATGAGAAGCCAAAACTACCAGGAACTGCCCTCCTGAATGGCTCAAAGGAGTTAGTGGATAAGCTGAGAGAGGCCACAAGACATGACCAACAATAAAGAACTGGGAAGAGGAACAGCAACGTTTTGAGCATGCCCAGTCCTTTAAGTCCTTGTCCTACAAAAAAAGAGCAGAGACATATTTCAGTGAAGGAAGTTTTAATATCACCTTTTAAAACAAGCATACTTTCCTATTTCTACGCTTTATGTACACTATGTTTACCGTAAGTCAGAGACAACAGTACCAATATATGTTTAAAAAACAAAGATCAGAGAGTTTAGTTAGAATTTTAAATCTTAAAAAGATTAGGAAAGTTAATCATAACTAATGAACAAAGTATATTATTTGGTCATCTGAAGAATCTGTGATTTTCACATTGCTTCTCAATTCCAAAAACAACAGTCAAGCGGGAAGTTTTGAATCTCAAGAAGTAACACACTGAGAAGAGGTAGCTGATCAAGTACAGGGGCTCTGCAGGGGGAGCAGAAATGCACAGGAAAGAGACTGTCACTGTCCATTTTAAGCCAGCTCCTGGGGACTGGCTTCACTAGGATGTCAACTACTTACGTTTAAGCTGTTGTGATGTGGAATAGCTAATCATTCTAACGACAAATGGCTAGGACAAGTTACCAGCATATCATTATCAAGCTGAGTACAGTATTTAAATTTCAGTATCATGTCAGCCAAATCAACTCTTCATAGTAACATTTAAAGGTAACATTTTTAGCAAACCAGAAATTTCCGTTAGCCCCAGATCACAGATATCTTTATCCCTGATCCCTTTATCCCTTAATCCCCAATACAACCTAGGTACATATGGTCTGGGCAAAGAGGCAAGCAGGAGAGATCATAAGCTACGATTTACCACAGCGTTAGCTATTTGCTCTCCCTTCCTTCAAACTACAGCCTATCAGTAACAGGTTTCATCTTACTCCTAAAAATTATCTCATTTTCTTCCAGCACGTGTGCATGTACTGCTAGTGCCTCTTGTACAGAGTTACCTTCAGAAAAGACGGACAGGAAATAACCACCACACACATTACTGTGTCCCAGAACTAATTCAATTGGCAATGCCCAGCTAATAATAAGAGCCAGATGTGTGAACCTTAGATTTACCTAACTTTTAATTATTAAAAGTTTCAAATGTTAGCTAGTAAGCTTAAATAAGCAAAATACAATATTTCTAAAGATCAAAATTACTTCATTTGTGAACTTCTACACATTTGAATATTCAAGCCAACTGATTTGATCTGGTTGAAGATGCTCATTGCAGGGGAGTGGACTAGATGACCTTTAAAGGTCCCATTCAACCCAAATTATTCTGTGATTCTATGATTTCAAGTATTAAAAAAATTACTCAAGTCAGTATTTGACCAATTTTGTATGAAACTACTGAGACTTGCTAGCCTCACAGCATATGAAGGCCAGTTAAGTTCATTGGTTAAAAAAAAAGGTCATAGACAGTGAATATCAGCACATTACATTTTAAATTAAAATTTTAAATCTTCAAAAGATTAAGAAGATTACTCATAAGTAATTTATTAATATTTAGATACCTAGCCTTATTTACTCACACTATTTCAGAAGTACTTAAAACTGAAGTTAAATAATACTGAAGCTTCATGGTTTGTTTTTTTCCCCCCTTTAAAATAATTCAAGGGATTTCTCCTCTGTACATTACATTTAAGGAAGATTTTAAAAAAAAAACAAACATTTGAAGCCATATGACAAAATAGTCTGTAATATATGAAGAACATTGCCCCCTTCAAATGTTTTTGAATAGAATTTGCTTTTCAAAGCGTTACCTTTCATTCTGAGGAGCATTATTTAAACGTAATTCTTATTCCTTAAATGGAACCTAAAACTAGGTAAACATCTCAGACAATTGCTTGGATTCTCTGTAGACTCTTCAGAGTTGTAGGCAAAACTAAACTGTTTCTTCAACAACAGAGCAGGACTGAGGTCAAATGAATAAGCACACAGCTATCCTTTACAGCTCATTATCGTATCAATAGAAAAGGTCGGTTCAGC